GCCAGGGGCACAGCCCTCTTCCTCCGCCGCCGCCGCCGCCGCCGCCGCCTCCTTCTCCGGCGGGGCCCAGCTCCAGGCTCCCCGGCCGCCAGGCGCCTCCCCGACGGCCGAGTGGAAAAACACTCGGAGCCCATTATCGCCGCCGCGCAAAAGGCCCCGCCGGCCGCGTTGGAGTTCAAAAAGGGCCCCGGCGGAGGAGGGCAGATAAGGCCGCGGGACACCGCAAGGGGCTGGGCGGAGATGATGATGATGATGATGATGATTATTATTATTATTATTATTATCATCATCATCATCATTATTATCATCATCATCATTATTATTATTATCCGTCTCGGTGTCTTGCGGTCTCCTAAATTTATTATCTTTCCTTTAGCCTTTAAATGCAGGCACGGGAATCAGGGGGGAGGTGGCGTCCTGCGGCCAGTTTCTTGGACTCTCCAAAGCGGGTGTCCCGAAAATCCGGTTGGTCTTGGAAGGCGCTTCTGGACCTGAATCCAGCTTTCCCCTCTGGAACTGCCTGTAGAATATCTGGCCCAGGGAGCTTCGGTTCTCCAGAGCTCAGACCTCGAAACTGTTGTCGGTCTGAGGTGCTGCTAGACTCGAATCCAGCTCTTCCGCTGCAGACCAAGGCCGCAGCCGTGGGGGGGGGGGGGGCGGCGAAAATCCAAGAACTAAATCAGCATGAGATTTCTTCCTGGAGCCACCACACGGAACCGAGTGCGAGCTTGCTAGTTCGCTTGAACCCTTCATCCGGTGTGATGTTAAATTTTTTAAAAATGCTTAAAAGGAGAAAGGAGAATCCTTCAGGCCCTGATGGTGAGTCCTGGGCATGCAGCTTTGCTTATTTAATTCATTTATACCCCTCCCCCCTTTCTCCCCAATGGGGACTCAGAGCGGCCTCCATCTTTCTCCTCCGTTTTATTCTCACAACAGCCCTGTGAGGTGGGTCAGGCTGAGAGTGTGTGACGGCCCGAGGTCACCCGGCCGGCTTCCATGGCACAAGTGAGGATTTGAACCTGGGTCTCTGAGACCCTAGTCCAGCACTCTGAACCACGACACTACCCTGGCTCTTTACTGGCTTCTGCGGAGTCAGCCTTGCCTGCTTAGAAATGTCCGGCTGAGGTCTTTTGCTTCCCCCTTTGAAGGGGGGATGCTGCCGGGAACTGAACTCCCGCCACACCCAGGGGGGGCTGTTTCTGTTTTATTGAGGAGAGAAGTTCTATTTGTCGTCTTGGGAGAACGTGAAGAAGCCATTCCGGCCTCCACCCCATCCGATGAATTCTCACAATTGGAAGCCGAGCCTGCCCCTTGACACACACACACCCCCGCCACCGCCTGTTTGCCTGGTGCTGCCTGGGACGTCCCTCGGCAGCAGGTTGGCACTTCCTGATTGGGCTGGCTAGAGGCTGCGAGGAGTACACCAACGGCACAGGGTTGCCAACTCCAGGGTGGGAGATTCCTGGCGATTTGGGGGTGGGGCCCAGGGAGGGGAAGGGCCTCAGCAGGGAATGATGTCACGCAGCCCACCTTCCGGAGCAGCCATCTTCTCCAGGGGGACGGGGATCGCTAGACTGGAGACCAGTTGTGATTCTGGGGGATCTCCAGGCCCCACCTGGAGGTTGGCAGCTGTATGCGGGCAGAACCTCAACGCAGCTGACGAGATTGCAGGAGCCTCCTCCTCTGACAGAAACTCCCGGGCAAGCCTGCCTGCCTCTCAGGTTACTTGCTTGGCCAGTGAGGGGCACATTGCGAAAGTTTCTCATCTCATGGGGGGGGGGACCCATAGAACTGAATCTGACTAGACATAAATAATAATCCTTCGCGTTTACACAGTCGTTTTCTGTGTTCAAAGCGCTTCGCAGGAACATGACCTGAGTGCCATCTTCACAACAAGCCTGTAAAGCGGGCTGGGATTGCTAATCCCGCACCCATCTCCCCTGATATGTATGTGGCCCTAGTTAGGAGATTAATTGTATATGTGTAAATCGCTCCCAGCCTCCAGGAAGGAGCGGTATAGAAATGTAATTTAATAATAATCATTGTAAATGTGGGGGACGGGTCAAGGCTGCAAGAAAGTGGGTTGCCAAAGATCCCTCCAGGATTTGTGGCTGTGGAGAAATCGGAACTCAGGTTCCTTTCGGATCATGTGAACAGTCATGCACTACTGCTGCACCGACTCCTGGACTCTGAAGAAACGGATCGGATCATGCGTGGGGGAGCACTGCGGCCAGGAATGGAGTTCCCTACGGATGTGTTAAAAGGTTGCACGTGTGACAAGGCTAATGGGAAAGCAGAGGAAACGTTGGCCGTGGTGCTGAGTGAAGACTTTGGCTCCCGGAGAATCTTTGCTTTTTGTCTGAAAAGAGCCCCAGCAGGTTTGTAGCCCTGTGATATTGCGTGTTGGCAAAGCCCGTGGAAACTTCAAGGGTGAATTTCCAGTAATTGGCTGCTGCAGCCCGTGTAGTGCATTGTTTCCCCCTACGATCAACAGAAGCAAAATAAAACATGCCAAGGAGTTACAGCTGCAAAACGAAGCCTGCCAAGTAAGAGAAATGAGGCACATTTGCTCAGTTTGTACAGTGGGTGCCGGACTCGGTGTTCCCTCTAAGCTAGCTGTACGTGTGAACGGTGGATCATTAACACAGGAAGCCCTGCTCCGCAGCACGCTGGAGTCGCACAGGGTCTTGCACTGCTCAGGGTGTGAGCTGCTCCACTCAGCAGCAATGCTCCCTCTAAGCTGTGGAGTCCTGTGAGCAAAAATTCTACTTTGCGAGCTACTGGCGTTAAAGTTGCGAGCGAGCGATTTGGCTCCTGCATAAATTAGTTTGCTCTGGAGCCATCCTTCCTGAGCTAAGACAAAAATCTGTGAGCTAGCTCACACTAACTCAGCTTAGAGGGAACACTGCCCAAGAGGTCAAAAAGGAGAAGGGAGCTAGAGAAAGGAGAAGGAAGGAATGTGGATGGGGGTGCAAGAAGGATTATCAGCGGGCTCCGTGGCACGTTTGGGTGCCACACTGGGTGTCACTCATCTACTCTGACTAATAACAGTTCTGCATTGTCTTGGGTAAAAGTTGTTCTCAACTGTGCTCTTGGCGTTGGTCCTGGCTTGCCCTATATCTGCCTAATGCCTATAAACATTCGTATTCCCCCCATTTTTTAATGAGCCCTGCACCCACACATACATGTATTAGCCATTCATAACAAACGGAATGATCGTCTGGAAGAAATAAAGACTGGCCTTCTTGTAATTTGCATATATGTGCTTGCTTGCACGGAAGCAGCCAGTTGTGGCTATTTGCTACTGAGGTTGCCTGCTACTGAACCAGATCCTTTGGTCCGTCAAGGTCCGTATTGTCTACTGAGACTGGCAGCGGCTCTCCGGGGTCTTGGGCTGAGGACTTAACGTCACCTCCTGCCTACTGCATCAATTAGTTTGCTCTGGAGCCCTCCTTCCTGAGCTAAGGCACAAATGTGTGACCTGGAGGCTAAAAAACTCTGAGCTAGCTCACACTAACTCAGCTTAGAGGGAACACTGCTCAGGAGGGGTGGGGGAACCAGAGGGAACATTGGACTGCCAGTCTGAGAATTTCATTTTTCTTAGCCCAGAATAACCCAGGCTAGCCTGATCTCGGAAGCAAGACGGCACTGCTACCCAGAGGCGGCAAACGGCAAACCACCTCTTGTTTGTTCCTTGCCTGGAACCCCCTGCGTGGGCTGCCACTTGACCGCACTCTCCCAGGGTTCACACTAGGGTTGCCAGGCACTATCGTTACACCAGCAGCAGGGGGGATTTGGGGGACAGTCTGGGAGTGGGTGGCAACATCCCCGATATGGTGACGTTACGTGGACGTGATGTCATCATGTCAGCAACATTGGGGGGGGTGACGCTCTGCCTTTGACCTCTGTGGTTAAAATTTGGCTCAAACCAGAGCTTGGCCCCAAAAGCAGAGCATCGGCACACGAGGTCGCCCACGCGATGACGTCACTTTTCATGTGACATCACCGTGTGACATCGCTGTTCAGGGATGGGGCTTCCCCTGCCGGCCGGTGGCGGGCAGAACTCCCCAAAATCAGGATTCCCTGCCCGGACTGGGGGTCTGGGAATCCTATTCCACACACACTACAGAACACGCTTTCCATGCGCTTTGCGACTGGTTTCACTGTGCGAAATAGCAAAGTCCACTTGCAAAGGGTCGCTGAGTGGATTGGAACGGCATGTCACACATGTGGAAACGCCCTCAGAATACGGGCTGTGAGTCTGAAGGCACAGAATCCCGTCCCATGTGAGAGTCCCTGTTGAAGGAAGAAGAAGCCCTCAATCTGGGGAGGCATTTTAAAGTCGATAAGAGCGAGGAGGCGATAAGAGCGAGGAGGATTCGCCCTCTCCCGGTGCACATGTGACAGGAGGAGTCACCTGCAAAAAGTAGGCGCAGAACCCAAAGGAGCTTGGGGCCTCTGCCCCACAAGGCCCCATGTGCCCCAATTCTGAGTGTGAGAAATACGACCGTCTGCGTCCCCCATGGCCAAAGGATAGCCTGCCAGG